TCCACTCACTGCCTCTCTTTATCCCTTAGAATTAGACAGGCTGCCTTTGTTCCTGTGTCGTGCAGGGCTGAAACGCTCATTATAACTTCCTCATGAGTGGGCGGGGCTGAACTGTAGACTGACATTGTTTTTGTGGCATCACAAAAACAGTGAATTCAAAGGGGGCTGTGTTTGCGGTTTAGTGTCTATATGTGGGCTGTATGGACGCTGGGACTAAACAGTGCTTTACGAAACTTTATCACTGTTTACATACAACACCAGACTCCCGTTTAAAAAAAAAAAGGCGGGAAAGTTCAGTCTTCCTTGATTTGAGCCCTTTAAAGCTGATATTCAGGGTTTCACTGTGAGTGTCTGAGAAGCAAACGTGGTTCTGCTGAGTGCACTCTGTTTCGGTGAACCGTTTAACGGTTTTGCTGAAGTTACGAGGTCGTGACCTTATTATTACAGCTATAAATTTCCCAAGTTTGTCTTCACGGCTCTCGAGGAAGCTTGGTTTGGGTCCAGAAGGTGCGGATGAACCCAGTGTAGGAACCCCCCCCCCTGCACCGCCGTCGCTGCTTATGCAGATTGCTGGTTATATAAAACTGAATCCCTGCGTCGTTCGGCCTAAATTTCGTGCCTGAAATGAGTCTCAGTTTAGAATATGTGCTGTTTTTTGGCCCCACGTTCAGTGAGAGCGAGGGAGGCAGCAGGGGATTCACACTGAGAGCTGTAAATCATTAGGAGCAGACTGGGTTAATGTTTGAGAGAGAGAGAGAGAGAGAGAGAGAGAGAGAGAGAGACAGAGGGAAATGTGCTGCAGGCTCAGTACAAAGTCTTTCGCCTGGTAACGACTCCAAATCCTCCAGAAATAATGACGCTGCGATGGCCTACTTTGCGAAGTGAATGGAGGACGGATGTATTCAAGTGAAATTGCACCTTATAGTGTTTTAAATTGTCTTTAAAAATAGTATTACTTAAAATCAGCATCCTATTTCCCCTTAATAGGCTTGATTATGTGGTTTCTGACATTGTTTAACACACTGTTATCTATAAACATGGACTAAACGACAGGCAAAATTCAGCTTTCTGCTGTTTTTAGCTCTGTTATGTAGTTTTGTCCATTTTTATAGATAACAGTGTGTCGTATTCAGTCGGTTTACCTGCTGTTTGGGTTAATTATTGAAGGGGAATTAAACCCTTTATTCCAAATACCTGCATAATTCACTGTTTGAGATGTAAACAGAGCGGTTCAGAGTGGTTTGGTGTGAAACGGTTCAGATGTCTTTACAGTGGTGGTGATAGGAACCAGGGGTCGCCATGACTACAACACAGATATAGACATTTTATTTACTATCCAGAACCACCAGTGAACCTACACGAGTCTTCTGAGTTTATATGGAATGTTGATGATGGAAAAATAGTGGAAAATCAGAAATAATAAGTTTTCTTTGGGGACTATTTTGCCTCACAGCATGTATCCCTCCACCATGAATGGCTTTTAAAGCCAAAATCTTCCCAAAGCTATCATAAAACAGTGTCTCAGTCATCAGGCAGTGAATTCATAACCATTTCATGTAGGAACTTTCTGTGAGGGAGCGTCTGGTTTAGAGGTGGACGTCTGGTTCCTATCACCACCACTGTGAACAATTCTGTTTTTCTAGAATGGAGCGTTTCACACCAAACCACTCTGCCGTTTAAATACGCAGAACATTCGGAGAATCGTTGTTGTTTAGAGCCTAAATGACGTGTGGAGTTTCTGCTGATCGTGGCTGAATGATTGGGCCCTGTTTACAGAGCGTGTTCAGCCCACAGTGAGTGCAGATACAGCTGCTTATCAGACCAGCTGTGAGATAAAGCTGTTAGAACAGGTCAAACACTAAAGCGTTATCGCTGATATTGCTGTGTGGGAGGCAGTTTTAGGTGATTGGTCATCCTGACGAGTTTCCCAGGGTGTCTTCAGGTAGAAATGCCCGATTTCTGTGATATAGGAAATACAGGACTGCAGTAACTGATTATTAGTACAGTGATCAATTAATGTGTCAGTGATGTTTGATCATTTCAGTGATCTGAGAAGGCATTGTTCACTGGCGATGGGTCAGATTGACCGTTAGTTTAATGGCCACTTGATTAGAAACACCCACCTTGTGCTTCCACTCACTGGCCACTTTATTAGAAACACCCACCTTGTGCTTCCACTCACTGGCCACTTTATTAGAAACACCCACCTTGTGCTTCCACTAACTGGCCACTATATTAGAAACACCCACCTTGTGCTTCCACTCACTGGCCACTTTATTAGAAACACCCACCTTGTGCTTCCACTCACTGGCCACTTTATTAGAAACACCCACCTTGTGCTTCCACTCAGTGGCCACTTTATTAGAAACACCCTCCTTGTGCTTCCACTCACTGGCCACTTTATTAGAAACACCCACCTTGTGCTTCCACTCAGTGGCCACTATATTAGAAACACCCACCTTGTGCTTCCACTCACTGGCCACTTTATTAGAAACACCCACCTTGTGCTTCCACTCACTGGCCACTTTATTAGAAACACCCACCTTGTGCTTCCACTCAGTGGCCACTTTATTAGAAACACCCAACTTGTACTTCCACTCACTGGCCACTTTATTACCTTGTACCTCTGCATGATTAAATGGTTCTTTGCATCATGAAACGGTTCTTCAGATTGATGGAGAATGTGCTGTAGATGGTTTTATATAGAACCTTTCTGAAAAGGGTTCTTTATAGCACCAAAAGGGTTCTTCTATTGATACAAGCTTGACATCGTAATGTCAGTGCTATTCAGAACCCTTTTCAAAAAGGTTCTATATAGAACCATCTACAGCACATTCTCCATCAATCTGAAGAACCTTTTCATGATACAAAGAAGTTCTTTGAGTGTTGAAAGTTCTGTATAGTACCGTTCTCGTTACTGAAGAATGTGATCAGGCTTTTATGTACAGGAAACTTTTGTGTACCAAAACCATAAGAAAGATCAAAGACTCAGAGCTGAGATATGGTGGAGATGATTTTATATGAACTGTGACGCGACAGAGCAGAAGCTCCGGTTCTAAACAGAAACATGATGTGAGATTTTCGGCGTTTTGTTTTGTGGGCTTTCCGGTGTTTTTGACAGCTGTGAAACTGGGCGATAAACGGATGCAGTGTTCAGCGCACCATATGGGAGATGTCCTGCACACACTGTTGGATCATCTGGTGCTCTTGTGATAAGTGAGGTAATGTCATCAGTTTTAGAAGGAGAGGTTTTGGATTTCATTGCGGGAGAAAAGGATGTCCAGTATCTGCTCACCTGTCCTGCTCAAGGTCAAAGAATCTAGATTTGAGTAAAACCACACAGCCTCTTATGTGATGTGAGAAAGGATGTGAAGACGGTTCACCTTTAATCTGTAAATAAAGATTTACAGAAGTGTGACTGCACACTACAGTCGGGTTCAGACAGAATTTTGGGGGCTACAGTCGGGTTCACGCCAAATTTTGTGGGCTACAGTCGGTTCAGACAGAATTTTGTGGGCTACAGTCGAGTTCAGACAGAATTTTGTGGGCTACAGTCGGTTCACGCCAAATTTTGTGGGCTACAGTCGGTTCAGACAGAATTTTGTCGGCTACAGTCGGTTCAGACAGAATTTTGTGGGCTACAGTCGGTTCAGACAGAATTTTGTGGGCTACAGTCGGTTCACGCCAAATTTTGTGGGCTACAGTCGGTTCAGACAGAATTTTGTGGGCTGCAGTCGGGTTGATGCCGTGTTTTGTGGGCTACAGTCGGGTTCAGACAGAATTTTGTGGGCTACAGTCGGGTTCAGACAGAATTTTGTGGGCTACAGTCGGGTTCACGCCAAATTTTGTGGGCTACAGTCGGTTCAGACAGAATTTTGTGGGCTACAGTCGGGTTCAGACAGAATTTTGTGGGCTACAGTCGAGTTCAGACAGAATTTTGTGGGCTACAGTCGGTTCAGACAGAATTTTGTGGGCTACAGTCGGTTCACGCCAAACTTTGTGGGCTACAGTCGGTTCAGACAGAATTTTGTGGGCTACAGTCGGTTCACGCCAAACTTTGTGGGCTACAGTCGGTTCAGACAGAATTTTGTGGGCTGCAGTCGGGTTGATGCCGTTTGTTTTGTGGGCTACAGTCGGGTTCAGACAGAATTTTGTGGGCTACAGTCGGGTTCACGCCAAATTTTGTGGGCTACAGTCGGTTCGGACAGAATTTTGTGGGCTACAGTCGGTTCAGACAGAATTTTGTGGGCTACAGTCGAGTTCAGACAGAATTTTGTGGGCTACAGTCGGTTCAGACAGAATTTTGTCGGCTACAGTCGGTTCAGACAGAATTTTGTGGGCTACAGTCGGTTCACGCCAAATTTTGTGGGCTACAGTCGGTTCAGACAGAATTTTGTGGGCTGCAGTCGGGTTGATGCCGTGTTTTGTGGGCTACAGTCGGGTTCAGACAGAATTTTGTGGGCTACAGTCGGGTTCAGACAGAATTTTGTGGGCTACAGTCGGGTTCACGCCAAATTTTGTGGGCTACAGTCGGTTCAGACAGAATTTTGTGGGCTACAGTCGAGTTCAGACAGAATTTTGTGGGCTACAGTCGGTTCAGACAGAATTTTGTGGGCTACAGTCGGTTCAGACAGAATTTTGTGGGCTACAGTCGGTTCAGACAGAATTTTGTCGGCTACAGTCGGTTCAGACAGAATTTTGTGGGCTACAGTCGGTTCACGCCAAATTTTGTGGGCTACAGTCGGTTCAGACAGAATTTTGTGGGCTGCAGTCGGGTTGATGCCGTGTTTTGTGGGCTACAGTCGGGTTGATGCCGTGTTTTGTGGGCTACAGTCGGGTTCAGACAGAATTTTGTGGGCTGCAGTCGGGTTGATGCCGTGTTTTGTGGGCTGCAGTCGGGTTGATGCCGTGTTTTGTGGGCTACAGTCGGGTTCAGACAGAATTTTGTGGGCTGCAGTCGGGTTGATGCCGTATTTTTCCGGCTGCAGTCCAGTATGGACGGAATTTGGTCGGGTTTGGGTGGAATTTTGTAGCTACAGTCAGGTTTGGATTCTGAACTTGGTTTGGACTTTGGACAGAGACTCGGGCTGTGTTCAGGTTGAGGTCAACGTTTTAGACTCGGCTGAAGCTCAAATTTGACAGAACAGGATGTAAAACCTGTCTGTAAATTCGTTCAGTCATGCAGGTGGCGCTTGTGTCGTGTGGAGATGAATCTGATATTCGGAACTCGTCAAAACAAGAGCTGTTACTCATCCCTGGCTGTCAGCGAGCGTTCACACTTCAGCTTTCAAACTTCTAAACTGGAAACTCAAACTTCCAGTGCACAGTTTCCCCCGAGAGATGAGTGTACTTCCCCCGTCCCACCGACCCTCCTGCCCCCTCCAGCTGGGCCCGCTGAACTAAGTCATCGCTGGAGTGGAGGATCATGCAGAATCGGTCAGAGACGGCGTTGGTGTTTGCCGGCTCATTAGCGATACGAGTCCCAGACCGGTGACCCCCGGGGCCGCTGCGGAGCGGATCAGGAGAAAATGGCTGCTGCTGTTTCAAGCTCGTGTTTGCACATCTGTCGAGAGGTGACCAGCCAGGAGGAAGTGGGCCTCTCTGCAGACTCACAGCCAGCTAATCCCCTCCCCCTCCAACCCCTCCTCCGCTCTGCTTTTCACTCTTAACTTCTTTTCTCGGCAGTGTCCTGTTTTTCCACATAAATCACGCGTGCCGCTCTGTTTGCTCCGCGTCCGTCTTTTATGGTTTTGCGCCCCGTCTCTGTTTATTAACACTGCACTCTTTCATTTAAAGCAGTTAATCATTTTACTCTCTATAAATTGTTTTATGAACAAATAGCTGTTATTATTACACGTTTAATAAGATAAATTAATAGCGATGCATCCTGACTCTCAGCACAGACATACAGCTTATTGGTATTAGTGCTGTTAACCTCTTATTCTCCAGGGTATATTTTGTTTTTGTCCATCTGAATTTTCATGACCAAATCATAAGGCAAATTATTCAGTAACTGCAGGAAATAAATGCAGATTTTTATTTTATTTGTTTATTTATTTTTTGTAAAAGCTCCCCTCAAATTAACGGAACATGTGTTTTATGATCACACATATCGCTATATGTTTACAATTTACTGCTGAAAGCCAAAAATCTTAGACGCTCTTTGTATTATTTTATAAAAATAATGTTTACAGAGCAGATCACTGAAGAGACGCCATCTGTTTATAGTTTATAGCCCAGATTTGTGGAAAAATGGGTCGACTTTCAGTAGAAAAAAAACTGAGTTCAGCTTCTTTTATTATAAGGGTTTAAAATTACATCACCGTCTATTTGACTGGAAAGAAGACAGTTACAGCTCTCATACGACCCCCACCTTTAGAATGTAGCTTATGAAATATGAAAGTTATGAAGAATATGACGAAGCGTGTTTTGAAACCACCGGTGGTTCCAAGGAGTTCATGGTTCGAATAAAGAATGCAGATTAATCGCCTTCGTCTTATATGCTCAAATTTGTCTTTTCAGTAAAATAACTGTGTTTATTTAGGTTTTTATTTTTGTCATTTGATGACGACAGCTGCCCTTCACAGTGTGTGAACATTTATTATGAATAGACAAAGAAAAATAGCCCAAAATTTCTTGGAATTAAATCTCATTACATCAGATTTCCACCAGTTTTCTGCATTTCCACCAAAATTTCTGCTTAACTCAGTGTGTGAGGTGTAATCAGAGTGATTCAGAGTGGTTTGGTGTGAAATGGTTCAGATGTCTTTACAGTGGTGGTGATAGGAACCAGGGGTCGCCATGACGACAACACAGATATAGACATTTTATTTACTATCCAGAACCACCAGTGAACCTACACGAGTCTTCTGAGCTTTTATATGTAACGTTACACCGATTTTAGACTAAAACTCTCAAAACTATCATAAAACAGCGTCTCAGTCATCAGGCAGCGAATTCAGAACCATTTCATGTAGGAACTTTCTGTGAGGGAGCTTTTAGAGGTGGACGTCTGGTTCCTATCACCACCACTGTGAACAGTTCTGACTCTGCAAGTTTCTCCACCCTCTTAGAGTTCTTCAAGGGTGCTTTAGCAAAGAAAATGGTTCTATACAGAACCTTTTTGAAAATGATTCTGTATAGCACCCAAAAGGGTTCTTCTACTGTTACAAGCTTGACTTTCGAACAGTAGAAGATCCCTGTTGGGTGCTATATAGAATCATTTTCAAAAAGGTATCTATATAGAACCGTCTACAGCACATTCTCCGTCAATTTGAAGAACTCTTTCATGATGCAAAGGGTTCTTTGAGTGTTCGTGGTTATATACAGAGCCATTTTCTTTACTAAAGAACCCTTGAAGAACCATCTTGTCTAAGAAAGGAGAGCCAAACCACTGAAAATCACTTTGTTTACACCCAATAGTTTTGAAAATTGGTTGAATTCACTGTTAAATATGTGAATATGAAATACGAGGTTCTCTTAAATATGTCTCCAAGCACGTTAGCGTAACCGGGCTACTTTACAGAGCTCTCAGAAAGCCGGTTCTAGATGCTCGTCTAAATGTCAGATCTCCCGCCGTGTTCTTTTTCATGTCAGGATTAGATCGTGAATGCAGCCGTTTGTAATTAGCTCCTGCGTGCACAGCTAAGTAAATCCCCCGTGGTACATGGCGAAAATGGCGGGTAAGCCTTGTTTTGTGCTCGGTTGCCTCAGCGAGGCGCCGGCGTGAGTTCAGGGCCACCTGAACGCTGGAGGGGGATTTGTGTAATTGGCACGTCCAGCATTAGCTTATCTCATAGCCGGATTAGCGCTGTGGTGAAAGCAGGGCCCACGGGGTTAGCAGCCCATGCCCACTCCCAGTGCTCAACATGGTGGAGATGGAGTCACACTCGAGTCGCATGTTGACTGACTCACAACTCAACTCAGGACAGAAAGTGACTGAAAATTGATTGATTTGAAACCCCAGACTCGACTCGAGATTCGGGCTCTCACCTCAGAGACTCGAGACTCGACTCACCCCAGAGACTTGAGATTTGTCTTTCAGCTCAGAGACTTGAGACTCGACTCTCAGCCAAGAGACTCGGACTGTCATCCCACAGACTCGAGACTCGGACTGTCATCCCACAGACTCGAGACTCGGACTGTCATCCCACAGACTCGAGACTCGGGATCTCACCCCAGAGACTCGAGACTCAGGATCTCACCCCAGAGACTCGAGACTCGACTCACCCCAGAGACTTGAGATTTGACTTTCAGCTCAGAGACTTGAGATTCGACTCTCAGCCAAGAGACTGGAGACTCGTCTCTCAGCCCAGAGACTCGAGACACATCTCTCAGCCCAGAGACCTGAGACACGACCCTAGAGACTCAAGACTCTGACTTGCGACTCAAGACTTGTCTTGAACTCACAACCCCAGAGACTTGAGACTCAACTTGGATAGACTCAACAGTCGACTCTCGCCCAAGAGACTTATGACTCAACTCTCATCCTAGAGACTCGAGACTTGTCTTGGACTCACAACCCCAGAGACTCAAGACTCAACTTGGACTTGCATCTCAGAGACTCGAGACTGGACAAGGACTCGCCTCCCAGAGACTGGATTCAGACTCGCATCTCAGAGATTCAGATTTGTTTTGGACTCACACCCCAGAGACTTGAGACTAGACTTGGTCTCACACCCAAGAGACTCGAGACTGGACTAGGACTCACCTCCCAGAGACTTGAGACTCCATTCAGACTCGCATCTCAGAGATTCAGACTTGTTTTGGACTCGCACCCCAGAGACTCAAGGCTGAACTTGGACTCACACCCCAGAGACTCAAGACTGGACTAGGACTCGCCTCCCAGAGACTTGAAACTCGACTCTGACTCGCATCTCAGAGATTTAGACTTGCTATGGACTCGCACCCCAGAGACTCGAGACTTGTCTTGCACTCACACCCAAGAAACTCGTGACTGGTCTAGGACTCACACCTCAGAGACTCAAGACTCGACTCGGACTCGCATCTCAGAGATTCAGACTTGTTTTGGACTCGCACACCCAGAGACTCGAGACTTGACCTGGCGCGAAGCGACTTGCGATCGTCTCTGCTACACGAACACAAACGGCTCGGGGCTTCACTGCAGGCGGTCCTTATAGGCCACGTTACGGCATCTCGCTCGTTTAGGCAGAACCGTTCTTTACATAACAGACGGGAACAGAGGAAGTAACACATTCGTCGTCCACCTCAGTGTGTTTTCCCACACATTCCTGTAATTCTTGTTAGCTGCAGTGAGTCAGAAGACGCCCACTCTGAGGTCTCGGGTCTTACGTGTGTGGGTAATAATTGGACTTGGCAGCTTGCAGAGATAACAGGGCATTTTCTTCTGGCCCACATTCATCCTGAATTCTCCACATTTATCATCGGGAGGCAGGAATGACTTTTGCTCTGGGCTACAGGCGATTACACGGTGCTGCAATATGTAGGTCAGTACTGAACCACGTAAACATGCACCATAATAGTAATGAATAGTGATTATGCACTGATGAACTATGTATTTATGGTAATTCAGGCAGTATTGATTGCTTGATGTGGCAATTAATTGTAATATTTTACAAATTAATTCCTCTAGTTTGGAAGAAAATCCTGGAAGGGTGGATATAGATTTTGGCCTAAACAGGCTTATTGTAGATCAGACGTCTGAGTCCCGTTGTTAACCTGGTCGTTCACCAGGGAGGGTCATTATCTAGAGTTCTAGACGGTGTTGCAACAAGAGAACCAGTGGCAAAGCAAGGCGCTAACAAGCCAAGATCTGCAGGTCAAGGACAGCATGTAACTAGCCGAGGGGAGTCATTGGCCAGGTGAGCCGGTCGTTAGTCCATAGACATCACCTTAACTACAGGACGTCTGTAGTGTAGTCTGAGTGTGTCTACGTGGCTCAGGTTATCCAACAGGATTAATATAACTTCAGATTATTTCTGTAGTTTGATTTGTAGTATGGGATTAATATAATCTTTGGTTATGTCTGCAGTTTGTTTTATAGCAGTAGGTTCATAAACTGATCATAACATTATGACCACCTGCTTGTTTCTGCGCTCATTGTCCATTTTATCAGCTCCACTTACTATATAGGTGCACTTTGTAGTTCTACAGTTACAGACTGTAGTCCATCTGTTTCTCTGATACTTTGTTAGCCCCCTTTTACCCTGTTCTTCAGTGGTCGGGACCCCCATGGACCCTCACAGAGCAGGTACTATTTGGGTGGTGGATCATTCTCAGCACTGCAGTAACACTGACGTGGTGGTGGTGTGTTAGTGTGTGTTGTGCTGGTCTGAGTGGATCAGACACAGCAGTGCTGCTGGAGTTTTTAAACACCTCAGTGTCGCTGCTGGACTGAGAATAGTCCACCAACCAAAAATATCCAGCCAACAGCGTCCTGTGACCACTGATGAAGGACTAGAGGATGACCAACACAAACTGTGCAGCAGCAGATGAGCTATCGTCTCTGACTTTACATCTACAAGGTGGACCGACAAGGTAGGAGTGTCTAATAGAGTGGACAGTGAGTGGACTCAGTGTTTAAAAACTCCAGCAGCACTGCTGTGTCTGATCCACTCAGACCAGCGCAACACACACTAACACACCACCACCACGTCAGTGTTACTGCAGTGCTGAGAATGATCCACCACCCAAATAGTACCTGCTCTGTGAGGGTCCATGGGGGTCCTGACCACTGAAGAACAGGGTAAAAGGGGGCTAACAAAGTATCAGAGAAACAGTTGGACTACAAAGTGCACCTATATAGTAAGTGGAGCTGATAAAATGGACAATTAGTGTAGAAACAAGGAGGTGGTCATAATGTTATGCCTGATCGGTGTATAACCTGGGATTATCTATACAGTTTTGTTATAGCATGGGATTAATATAACGAGGGATTATTTCCACGGTTTGTTTTATAGCTCGAGATTTATATAACCTGGAGTTACTGCTATAGTTTGTTTTATAGCCCAGATTAACCTGGGGACATTTCATTGATTTCTTCTATAGCGTGGGATTAACGTAACCTCATTAGCCTAATTTTGGACTCTGTACAGCTGTGCTCTGTATGAGTGACGCTCCCTGACACAACTGGAGCCGAAACAATATCCCAAAGTGAAGGGCTGAATAATTCATGTGGAGGAGTGTGCGTGGCCTCGCTGGCGGGATGCCGGGTAGGAAGTGGGACAACACAACTCCTCGCTATTTAGCACTGCTGCTCCTTGTTGCTACGCTACGAAAAGCCCAGCTGCTGAGCTCGGCATGCGTTTGTGTTGTGGAGTCTGCATGAACTCTTAGCCTTGTAAGGAAACGGCCCTTCTCACTTTCAGCAGGACTGAGGCTCATAAACGGACTGAATAGCCCGGCGCAGCCTCCGGCTCTCGCTGTAGAGAGGCTATTAGGTTAAGCTGCATGCATGGGGCTTCCACTTTTGACTTGGAGGACGGGCTGAGAGGGGGCAGGAGTGTTGTGGCGTTGTTTAAAATGGGGATTGAACGTTTCAGGATGCCAAACAGCAAATAGAGCTCCTTTATCCTGTTCCAGGCCTGTAGGAGGGCGAAGGCAAACACAGGCTTCCTCTGAGTCCGGCGAAGCGCCACCGCATCTTTTCAAACAGCCGCTAATGCGACGTCTGGATCAGACACAGCAGTGCTGCTGGAGTTTTTAAACACTGTGTCCACTCACTGTCCACTCTATTAGACACTTCTAACTTGTTGGTCCACCTTGTAGATGTAAAGTCAGAGACGATAGCTCATCTGCTGCTGCACAGTTTGTGTTGGTCATCCTCTAGTCCTTCATCAGTGGTCACAGGATGCTGCCCACAGGACGCTGTTGGCTGGATGTTTTTGGTTGGTGGACTATTCTCAGTCCAGCAGTGACACTGAGGTGTTTAAAAACTCCAGCAGCACCGCTGTGTCTGATCCACTCAGACCAGCACAACACACACTAACACACCACCACCACGTCAGTGTTACTGCAGTGCTGAGAATGTCCCACCACCCAAATAGTACCTGCTCTGTGAGGGTCCATGGGGGTCCTGACCACTGAAGAACAGGGTAAAAGGGGGCTAACAAAGTATCAGAGAAACAGATGGACTACAGTCTGTAACTGTAGAACTACAAAGTGCACCTATATAGTAAGTGGAGCTGATAAAATGGACAATGAGCGTAGAAACAAAGAGATGGTCAGAATGTTATGCCTGACCGGTGTATTTTTGTAAAGGTATTATTGATACGGTATCGGCAACCATAAGGTGCTAATCGTCGCTTATTGTTTTGGACCAGAAATTTCATATCTGTTCATCTCTACAGATGCTGTCCTGTGCAGTACGGGTGGTGGGTGAGTCTGGGGGGTCATTCAAGTTCAAATGTGCGTGAACCTCCTGCTGGCTGATGATGGCAGGTTTGCTCTGATAGTCTAAGCTTGTGATTTTCTCCGAGCCCTTCAGACTGAAGCTCCTGTGAAAGTTCACAGCTCTAGGTAGCGCCTTCCTGTTTGTCTGAGAGGTGTTGTTCTCGTACCATACGTTGAAACACTCAGCGCACGACTGGAGACGTTCACTAACGCCTGTTCTAGTGGGTGGGGCGGGGGCGACACGACAGTGTGATACTGTAAAATTCCTATTGACTTAATATCAAAAATCTTCAGTCTGGATGACTTTTATTACCTTTTTGTAGCATCGTTTCTGTTCTAAATCTCAGAAAAGTGAATATAGTGTGTAATTATACATATTGTGAAAATGTCTCGATAGCAGTTTAGCTCCACCCATTCAGCCTACAGCAGTTTAGCCCCGCCCATTCAGCCTACAGCAGTTTAGCCCTGCCCATTCAGCCTACGGCGATTTAGCCCCACCCATTTAGCCTACAGCAGTTTAGCCCCTCCCATTCAGCCTACAGCGGGTTAGCCCCACCATTTAGCCCACAGCAGTTTAGCCCCACCCATTCAGCCAACAGCAGTTTAGCCCCTCCCATTCCTAAATATCTTATCTTTGCATTATTTTCCCTCTTCTTGATCAGGTCCATCTGGTTCAGAGAGATGTGTAGGCTGTCCCATATGTGGTCGGTCCAGTTTCATTGCTGCCCTGGGCAACTTCCCAACGTCATCATTTGACCTTTAGCCGACAAACCCAGCGTTAGCATTTAGCTTTTAGCCTGTGCTGACAAAGCTGGCGAGCCCAGGCCCTGCAGCGGTGCCGGCGCTCGCTGGCGGACCCGTCCCGTCCCCAGTAGGCCCATTTCCAGCCTGTTCATTAGCCGTTATGCTGTGCAGACAGGCTGTCGGTGCCGTGTGTGAAAGCTCTGCCGGAGCGAATGGCCTTTTCTGTGAGATCTCGGTTCCGTGCAGCTGTGTTTAGGCAGGACGTCACTCGTCTGTTCTGCAGACCGTTTATAAAACATTCCGCTCCTCTGTGTTTCTTAGTTTCAGTTCTGTTTTGTTGGGTAACAGTGTTTATCATCACTCCATCTTTCATCATTTCATCAGTCGCCACCACATCCCATCACAGCTTCAGCGCCACAGCACATCCTCTCGGTTACTCACAGTGTAGCAGCGACGGAGTAACTGTAAAGGGCGAAAGCTGATTGGTTAGGGACAATATAAATACAACAGCCTATTGGTTAGGAACCCTGTAAACAACTGATGGGACAGGAACCATGAAAATCAGACTGCTGATTGGTCAGAGACTTTGGTAGGAACAATGTAAACCATCCGCCTGATTGGTTAGGAACAGTGTATAATCACGATCACTAATTATTTAGGAGCAATGTGAGCCAAACAGCTGATTGGTTAGGGGCAATGTCTGGTCAGGAACCTTGTAACCAAAGCAGCTCATTGGTTAGGAGTAATGTAAACCAATCAGCTGATTGGTAAGCATGTTTACACCATGTAAACCAAACTACTGATTGATTAGAGACTGTGTTAAAAAGAGTTGATTGATTAGGAACAAAGTAAACAAGACAGCTGATTGGTTAGGGGCTTTGTAAACGAAACAGCTGATTGGTTGGGGCTTTGTAAACGAAACAGCTGATTGGTTGGGGCTTTGTAAACAAAACAGCTGATTGGTTGGGGCTTTGTAAACGAAACAGCTGATTGGTTGGGGCCTTTGTAAACGAAACAGCTGATTGGTTGGGGCTTTGTAAACGAAACGGCTGATTGGTTTGGGCTTTGTAAACGAAACAGCTGATTGGTTGGGCTTTGTAAACAAAACAGCTGATTGGTCAGGAACCATGTAATAAAGAAGTGCTTTTACTTGAGTGTCTGGTCTTGAACTGCTGTTTGACTCGATTCTTTGACTGCAGTCTTTTCGGTACCTGGATAAAGGTGTAACAGGTGTGTTCTCCTCTGTCCTGCAGAGAGGGGGCTTATCCATCATTCGTGCCTCGTCCACCGAGGTGGGTTAAGATGAGTATAACAAGCGATGAAGTCAACTTTTTGGTCTACAGATACCTCCAGGAATCAGGTGAGGAGTTTTACTTTCTCTCTCTAATTTATTTTCCATTTTCACTGCACTGAAATAAGAATCCAGAATTATTGGCACCCTTAGTGAAGATATGAAAACATGTTGTTTAGGAGCCAAAGATAGGTATTTATGTATATGTGTGTATGTGTATATATATATATATATATATATATATGTATGTATGTCTGTTACATTTTGTTGCTTTAAGACTTTATGTAGTAATTATGACATGTTTTTGGAGAAGGAACGTTTATTGTAAAGTAATTATTTTCAATTTCTTATACATTTTTCAGTGTAAGGTCAAAATAAAGAACCACGAACATATTTTTATCGTCCTTTTCGTCCTCTTTAATAAAGGTGCTTATAAATCTCGAAGGCACTGCACACTTTTCACTGTTTCACATTATACACGAGTGAGACGTTTGCTGCTGATCAACTAATATATAAAAAAGGATTACAAAGCCCTCACACCCTTAAAGACACGCTTATAAACAAAGACAATCAACAATACACTTCATTCTCAGCTAAATGTGGAAAGGTTTTATACATCGCAGCAGGGAAGTCCCGTTTTTGTGTGAGCTGAGAGCTAATCAAGGCAGGCAGCTGGCAGTGCTTCTGTGGAAAACTGTACCGGCGCCTTTGGCGTCTTTTCATGGCTGTAAATGTGAATAGATGGAAGCGAAAGCTGCAGTGACACCAAATACTACAGTACTTTCAGTCACGACAGGTTCTATTGAATCAAACTGTATCCAGTTGAATGGCCACTCACTGGCCACTTTATTAGAAACACCTACCTTGTGCTTCCTCTCACTGGCCACTTTATTAGAAACACCGACCTACTATGTCCACTCACTGGCCACTTTACTGGAAACACCAACCTTGTGCTTCCACTAACTGACCATTTAATTAGACACCCCAACCTAGTGCTTCCATTCACTGGCCACTTTATTAGAAACCCCTAAATTGTGCTTCCACTAACTGGCCACTTTATTAGAAACACCTACCTGTAGGTCCACTGTGTAGGTGTACAGTGACAGACTGTAGCCCGTCTACCCCGTTCATCATTGGTCAGTTTCTGACCACAGGACTGGCGGAACTACAAGGGGAGGTTTCTGATAAAGTGGACTATGTCCACTACAATAACATGTTGTTTTTCAGAAGTGTTTGCTTCCCGAACTAGACTGTGTCTCTCTGCTGTACTGACTTAACTGCATATCTGTATGTGTCGCTGCAGGTTTCTCCCACTCTGCGTTCACCTTTGGCATCGAGAGCCACATCAGCCAGTCCAACATCAACGGCACGCTAGTGCCCCCTGCTGCCCTCATCTCCATACTGCAGAAGGGCCTCCAGTACGTGGAGGCTGAGATCAGCATTAATGAGGTCAGGGCTCACAGCCACTTACACACTTTACCCCTCTTTGCTCAGCACCCCTTGTACATCTATATATCACTATATCGCTAAAATATCACTAAAATAGAAAAGTAATATCATATAGTATCTCAAAATCACTTTATACTGGTATAGATAATATAGTCAGCACTGAAGTAAATGTAAATGTGGTGTGAGAATTTCATTTTATGTCATGGAAAAGCCATAAAATTTCACTGTGCATTTTATGCTGTGTACAGAATTGTATGAACCATGATGTAAATGCCAAAAATGTACAGCTGTTTTCCCAAAGAACATAACTATAAAAACACATTCATCAAATTTACATCATAAAAATGTGGTGAGGATTCATAGTTTTGTATAAAGTGACAGAATTCTTTTGTTGAGGTTTAATCTCTTCCACAACTCCAACAGGATGGGACAGTATTTGACGGCCGGCCGATCGAGTCTCTGTCTCTGATTGATGCGGTGATGCCGGACGTGGTTCAGAGCCGTCAGCAGGCTTTCAGAGAGAAGCTGGCGCAGCAGCAGCAGGCCGGGGGCGGATCGGCGGCGGCCTCGGGGGGTCAGACCATCGCAATAAAGAATGGCGAGACCACCGTCAATGGGCAGGAGAACGGCACACACGACTTGAGTGAGTAGACGAGTTTACATTCCGCCGCATTTGTCATCACACGGCTTTGAACACAGGATCAGCTTGTGCTGTATGTTTTCATCCTTGGTCATTTGCTATAAATGGAGCTGTCCTGTTTGAAGGGTGTGATGATGTAGACACACAGTTAGGAACGTGCTAATTGTTCTTGTGGTAACTTACTTGCTAGCTGCATTAGCCTCATAATTCCAGTGCAAAATTAAAGAAGAAGTTTTAAACACTGAGCTACACACTGCAGTGTTTTAAACACTGAGCTACACACTGCAGTGTTTTAAACACTGAGCTACACACTGCAGTGTTTTAAACACTGAGCTACACACTGCAGAAGTGTTTTAAACACTGAGCTACACACTGCAGTGTTTTAAACACTGAGCTACACACTGCAGAGTGTTTTAAAGACTCAGCTACACACTGCAGAAGTGTTTTAAACACTGAGCTACACACTGCAGTGTTTTAAACACTGAGCTACACGCTGCAGAAGTGTTTTAAACACTGAGCTACACGCTGCAGAAGTGTTTTAAACACTGAGCTACACACTGCAGAAGTGTTTTAAACACCGAGCTACACACTGCAGAAGTGTTTTAAACACTGAGCTACACACTGCAGAAGTGTTTTAAACACTGAGCTACACACTGCACTCTGATTTATTATCTCTTTCTGGTCAGATAACCATGCTGAGCCCATGGAGGTGGACGGAGACGTGGAGATTCCAGCTAGCAAGGCCACAGTTCTGCGGGGCCATGAGTCGGAGGTGTTCATCTGTGCCTGGAACCCCGTTAGCGACCTCTTAGCATCTGGGTGAGTCGTCCCACCATCGCTGGACACGTCCCTCTCACCATCAACCGACACGTCCATCTCACCATCAACCGACACGTCCCTCTCACCATCAACCGACACGTCCATCTCACCATCAACCGACACGTCCATCTCACCATCAACCGACACATCCCTCTCACCATCAACCGACACGTCCCTCTCACCATCACCCGACACGTCCCTCTCACCATCACCCGACACGTCCCTCTCACCATCACCCGTCACGTCCTTCTCACCATCACCCGACACGTCCCTCTCACCATCACCCGACACGTCCCTCTTACCGTCTCACCGTCAACCGACACGTTCCTCTCACCATCACCTGACACGTCCCTCTCACCATCGCCCGACACGTCCCTCTCACCATCTCACCATCACCCGACACGTCCCTCTCACCATCTCACCATCACCCGACACGTCCCTCTCACCATCTCACCATCACCGGACACATCCCTCTCCACCATCGCCCACCCGACACGTCCCTCTCACCATCTCACCATCACCCGACACGTCCCTCTCACCATCTCACCATCACCGGACACATCCCTCTCACCATCGCCCGACACGTCCATCTCACCATCTCACCATCACCCGACACGTCCCTCTCACCATCACCTGACACATCCCTCTCAGTGTCACCCAACACGTCCATCTCACCATCTCACCATCACCCGACACATCCCTCTCACCATCACCCGACATGTCCCTCTCACCATCACCCAGACACGTGCTTCCCATCCTTTTGCGCAGCATATTTTTAATATTCTTTTTGGATTCTTGCAAATAAAAATCTCAGCCCCGAGGCCGATGTTGTATGTGGAAAAATCAGCCGAACCTGTTATTACTGTCGGATCTTGTAGGGTGTGGGTCGGGTAGCAGGACTGTGTGGGACTGTGCACTGATTTTGGTTTGCACGTATATCCTGCAGGTCGGGCGACTCAACAGCGCGGATATGGAACCTGAGTGAGAACAACAACAACAGCAGCTCCACCCAGCTGGTCCTGCGTCACTGCATCCGTGAGGGCGGCCAGGACGTGCCCAGCAACAAGGACGTCACCTCGCTGGACTGGAACGTCAGTCTGACATGCCATCATTTCAGTCCACAACACTTACTTGCAGTTTGCTTACTGTTTCAGCAAATCAGGAGTTAGAAACTAAAGAATACACACACTTTCCTGATCGCATTACTATTGATTGGTCTATAGCAGCACTAATAACTGTTTTCTCTTAACAGAGTGACGGTACTCTCTTAGCCACCGGGTCCTATGATGGATTTGCAAGAATATGGACAAAAGACGGTGTGTACAAATATATACATAAACAACATGCATTCCACCATTTCAGAAAAGCGTATTTACATTGAGTTACAGTGGAATTCCACTGAGTGTTTCCACATAATTCAGTGGTGAAGTCATTCAGAGTGGTTTGGTGTGAAATGGTTCAGATGTCTTTACAGTGGTGGTGATAGGAACCAGGGGTCGCCATGACTACAACACAAATATAGACATTTTATTTACTATCCAGAACCACCAGTGAACCTACACGAGTCTTCTGAGTTTATATGGAATGTTGATGATGGGAAAATGATGAAAAATCTGAATCTTTAAAAATAAGCTTTACGCTAAAATCTTCTCAAAACTATCATAAACAGTGTCTCAGTCATCATGCAGTGAATTCATAACCATTTCATGTAGGAACTTTCTGTGAGGGAGCTTTTAGAGGTGGACGTCTGGTTCCTATCACCACCACTGTGAACAATTCTGACTTAGTCCAGAGAAATGCTGGATAAAATGTATTGTAAGCTTATAGCACCACCTAGTGTGATGTCATGCTAACAAGAGTTCTGTGTGTATGTGTGCGAACAGACACCCAGTTTGCTAGAGTTGTGCTGGAGGAGAAGGAGGCAGCCAAGAAATATATAGTTTTTAGCCATTTTAAATTATGTTTAATAATGATAATAATGTTTTTTTAACACCTTTCACAGCTCGAAGTGCTTCACAATACAAAAAAAACAAGAAAAAAAGGAAAAACAACGGAGAAGAGAAAAAAGTAATCAAAAAATAAAATGAACAATAAAAAATGCAACACATAAAAGCATTAGCAGAAAATGTGACACGTTGGTAATATTTAAAATTAAAATACACAAGATAAAAGTATAAATAAAAATACTCTAAAATACAACAACTATCAAAAACTGGAAGTAATAAAACAAGGGAAACAAAAACTAGTTAAAAGCTTCCTCTCCGCTGTTTTTAAGCTTTATATGATGATTATGGAAAAGCAGCACTAGATGCTTTACACTTTACACTTAATGCTTGATTTGGAACATCACATATTAGCACTCTGAAATGTGTGAAGGTACAAAAGCACTGAAAGATGTAAAAACTAGTAGTTTTATTGTCAATTCTATTGGAAAAATGAATTAAATAATTCATGTTGGCCAATATTAATGGATATCAGAACCTTTAGATCCTTAAAATTGGAATTACACAGATAATTTTCATATCAGCTCAGATTAGCAAAAACCTGGATGAACTGTGTGTTTAATGTCTGTGTAATTTTAATTTTAATGATTTCTCCTGTGTGTGTGCTTTACAGGTAATCTCGCCAGCACTTTGGGTCAACACAAAGGCCCTATATTTGCACTGAAGTGGAACAAGAAAGGGAACAGTATTCTGAGCGCAGGAGTCGATAAGGTGAGGCCTCAGCTCCGCCGCACCTTCCCTTACAGTAAGCGCCGATGACCAGTCAGCGTATTCACATCTGCTTCTGTTTCAGACGACAATCATCTGGGACGCACACACAGGAGAGGCGAAGCAGCAGTTTCCCTTCCACTCAGGTGAGCTCGCTACCGCCACCTGCACAGAAACGCTGTTTATAATCAGTGTATTTTCCTACGCGGCTTTATTAAAGGCATAACGTACACAGAGTAGCTGATCAGCCAAGACGTATGTGGTGTCTGAAGTTTCCTTCTTGAGTTTATTGCTGGAGCTAAGAGGCTAAATTGGCTAACAAGTGATGGAACAAAGTACCCAAAAGCTAATCTGGATAAAAATGAACATGAGCAGTTAGCCTTGTGTAATAACCTGATGATTTAGACAAGATGCTGATTGGTAAAAGCTTCCATCAATTGTTCGCTACATTAGCCTCTGTATGATCAGTTTATCTGAGAGAACTGGCTGAGCTCAGTTATTAGTGCTGAGTTTGTATTGGTCGTTAATCCTGTGCTCTTTGCCTGTTGGTCAGCTCCGGCGCTGGACGTGGACTGGCAGAACAACACCACCTTCGCCTCCTGCAGTACAGACATGTGCATCCACGTGTGCCGGCTGGGCAGCGACAGGCCGCTCAAGACCTTCCAGGGACACACGGTAACAACCCCCATCACCCACCCCGACTGCCCCATCACTCACCCTGACTGCTCCCATCATCCACCCCGACTGCCCCATCACTCACCCCGACTGCCCCATCACTCACCCCGATTGCCCCCATCACTCACCCCGCCTGCCCCATCACTCACCCCGCCTGCCTCCATCACTCACCTCGACTGCCCCATCACTCACCTCGACTGCCCCATCACTCACCCCGACTGCCCCTATCGCCCACCCTGACTGCCCCCATCACCCACCCCGACTGCTCCCATCACTCACCCTGACTGCCCCCGTCACTCACCCCGACTGCGCCCGTCACTCACCCCGACTGCCCCATCACTCACCTCGACTGCCCCATCACTCACCCCGACTGCCCCCATCACCCACCCCGACTGCCCCATCACCCACCCCGACTGCCCCCATCACTCACCCCGACTGCCCCCATCACCCACCCCGACTGCCCCCATCACTCACCCCGACTGCCCCCATCACTCTCCCAGCCTCTTTACTGTCAATCTGGTCAGAGTCTGATTGTAAATCCTCTTTGCTCTTTCAGAATGAGGTGAACGCCATCAAGTGGGACCCCAGTGGAACCCTGCTGGCTTCCTGCTCTGACGACATGACGCTGAAGGTGAGTGGTCACTTCAGGAATTCAGAACTGCCCTTAAATCTGACCTTGACTTGTTGATAACAGTGCCTTATGGGCACAGATACAGCCCAGTTTTACAGTATGGGGCATTTCATCTAGAGAATCAACTGGTCCTGTCAGGGATTCTCGCTTTAAGCAGCATAAACAGTTGATGATGATGATGATGATGATTATTATTATTATTATTATTATTATTATTATTATTATGGAACCTGGTTGGTTATATTGTAATATAATAGTGTGATTTTTGCATTATTGTATTTTTAATCTTTTTTATGTGTTGTTTCTCCTCAGATTTGGAGTATGAAGCAGGACTCGTGTGTTCACGACCTCCAGGCCCACAGTAAAGAAATCTACACCATCAAATGGAGTCCTACAGGCGCAGGCTCCAACAACCCCAACACCAACATCCTGCTGGCCAGGTGACCCTTCAGCCCAGTTCACTCTCACATCTGACTGACAGAACACAAACACCTCCATTTCAGTCAATGTTTCTGTCCACTAGACATGGCGAAATATGACCGTCACATTGCTCATGCATGAATCTAACCCTTATTATGAAATCCATTATTATATAACACACAATTTTTATAGTGTTGTAAACTGTATTTAAAATAATAACCTGCTATGCAGAGCTGTGCGTTACAGCATGTAGCTCTGGTGCTATAAAAGTTGCAGCAGTGTTTTTAGAGAGAAAATGGCATTAAAACGGCACCTTAAGTATCCAGAAAGCTAGCTGATCAGTTCTCCTTTGTCCTAATCACTGGTTTCTGTCCTCAGTGCGTCCTTCGACTCCACGGTGCGACTGTGGGATGTGGACAGAGGCGTGTGCGTCCACACCCTGACCAGACACCAGGAGCCAGTCTACAGCGTGGCCTTCAGTCCGGACGGCAAGTTCCTGGCCAGCGGCTCCTTCGACAAGTGTGTCCACATCTGGAGCACAGCAGTAAGTACAGCTTCCACTGACCATCAGAACCAACAGAGGAGAATTGGGCAGGAAAAGAGTAAAAACACCTGGACAAACATTCAGACTGTTTGGCCGTCCGTTACGCCTCGGCAGCGATGATGAAAACATGCTGTAATGTTATATGAATTATTTCTGACTCAGTAACGAGGAGAAATTGTATGGAAAGTGCAGATTCTAAATGTTCACTCCAAACCATGTTTGGGCTTAATAGATTTTTTAAAAAGATATTTTATTACAGTTTGTTTTGCAGAAAGAAATTCTATTCTTAATAATTTTGCCGCTTTTCTAAATTTTTGATGTCAAAACAAACTAAACTTCAGAAATGCAGGATTTTTTTCTAATGTGTGAATGAAATTAGTCATGCAATAATTGTCTATTTTCATGGTATTTGGTTCATTTCTGGCTGATTCCAGGTTGTTCAGCTGTTCTTCTGTCTCAGCTGCCGACTGAAAAGCTGCTCAGTGGTGATGACAGTTTGGGAATTTAGTGTCGTCTCATCTTCAGAGTCTGACCAAATCGGCTGTCGGTCAAATGTGATCTTAAAAGTGTCCATTTTCTGTTTGTGGCAAAGTAAGAAGTAAAAACATTTAAATGGCCTGAGCGTCTCCTACAGCTATCGGAGTTACAGCGGAGTGATACAGTGTTTGTGAAAAACCCTGTGATGTTAAGGTGAAATAACAGCACAGTTAGAACGCTTCACAACCAATCAGCTTGCGTGGCCGGAACTAACTACTGTATAATTAAAAATAAATAAACTGGTTGTATATGAAAAAGACTCCTAACACTACCGTCACCTTCCTGTGTAAAACGATCAGATTGTAAGTTGCTCTGGATAAAAGCATCTGATTAATGCCTTAAATATAAACATAGATATTTTAGTGCAGTAACTCAGCGTCACCTGAACATTCTGCTCTACAATTAATACCTCATTAAATATCAGTTTGAAACGTGATCAGATCTAAAAATCTCTCCAAAGCTGCTAGTTTTTAAAGCAGTCATCTGAAGATTCTGATATATTGATATCATTGTGTATCCCTAATCGCTAATTCTGTGTGATGTTTGTTTTCTAATGTCAGAGTGGAGCTCTGGTGAACAGCTACAGAGGAACTGGGGGTATTTTTGAGGTCTGCTGGAACAGCACAGGGGACAAGGTCGGTGCCAGCGCGTCAGACGGCTCGGTAAGTCCACTTTGGGCTGCAGTCCCTTACCATTTTAAATTTTTTAATTGTTCATATTATTTGAATATTATGAATCAGTGAAGTGCTGTGTTGAAAGTAAGACGTGCTGTTTAGCACAATGAGTTCGATCGATCAAAATGAGAAGAATAAATTGGCGATTGCAGATCATTTTCTTGTTCCTCTTCTTTTAGACTCTGTAACTCTGGTTTTTGCCGTCGTACATTTGTATGCAAAAGTTTGAACACCCCTGGTCAAATCCCATGTATTGTTGGTTTTCTAAGTGGAAATAAGTCGACACGTCCTCTACACACAGCTGAACAGCTTAAATATGACATTTTTTCTGCCTTTTTCAGTGAACATTTTTTTCCTTTTTGTTTGTTTTTTGGTTTAATATATTTGTTTGTTTGGTTTAATATATTTGAAAACAAAATATAAAATGCACCGTAACTTTTGCACAGTCTGCATTTTGTTTTGTTTTTTTTTCAATATTTTAAAGCAGATTAACAGTAATCGTGTATTAAAATGTGCAGAATTGTGTTCTCTGAGGATGTGTTCACTTACTTTACCCTAAAAATCACATAAACATGTCATTTGAGCAGGGGCGCTCAGACTGTGTCCATTTTGGCACCCAAACAGGTGCTGAGCGTTGGTCATTTAATATGCATTAGCTCATTAAAATGTTAGTTTTGATTGGCATTTAACTTAGAACAGGGGTCGCAACCCAAATGTTAAGAAGAGACATTTTGTCTCTTAAACAAAAATCAAACCACCATAACACTTTATGTCCATTTTACCATCTTGGCTGTAAATATGTCTCAGTATGTGTTAATGTCTTAGTATAGGCTAACAAATATATAAACGAAAACACAGACTTACTTTGCTCTGCTTTAAGCTTTATCTCCGCTATAGCCGCTTTCTCACGTCTCCAGCAGGAAACTTTTCCTCAAAAGTGGAACAGTTTCTTAAGTTAGTTCGAAGTGAAATTGAAGCAAGTTGGACTTTTTACGAGACTGAAGTTCTTCTCATTCACCAACTTCTTGTTTGCATTTTCCTGTTCCAACTTTAAATGGTGCCTGAGGTGCCAGAATGTAACTGCTGCACTATTTAAGGTGGAACGGGAGAATGCCAATGAGAAGCTGGTGAATGAGAAACTTCAGCTTTGTGACTTTTTAGTGTTTCAGTCTCTCGTTGCAGATTAAACGTATCAGGAAACCAGCTGGAGTGATTATAGAAGTGAATAAGTCCATTCATCTTAAATCTCTCTCTTTGCCGTTTCGTTAGCTACTAGCTAGGCGAGACTGTTGTCAGTGTTGCTATGGTGACAGTCTGCGCTGATCTTCAGGGTTAAAGGGTGAATCATCAGTTCTACATTAACTCCAGAGTTTAAGACCATTTATTGTTAAACTGTGTTGAACGATCAGCAGAGCTTTATTTTACTGTAAAGGAGGATTATTTTATTTTTACCTACTAATCTGATTCAGCTGTGGAGCCACAACAGGACAGTAAAAGAGCCGCATGTGGCTCCGAAGCCTCCGTTGCCGACTGCTGACTTAGAACGTGTAAAAATACCGCGGTGTGAGTTTTATGAATCTGGCCCAGCAGTTTCTAACCTGTCGTTAGTTGCGAAGGTTTCCACATCATTCACAAGTTCCACGCTTCTTTTCCAGGTGTGTGTTCTGGATCTGCGGAAATAGACGCCTGCCGGAGTGACGACGGAGCTGGAACTTCGCAGCTGAATGCCTTTATTACATCCGAACTCTCCATGATCGCACGCAACCAAGACGGGGCCATGAAGCAGGAACACGACTACGCCAAGAAGAGAAGAATCCCAAATGTTTAAAACCAAATTGAAAGCAGAAGGGCTTGGAGCAGAGGGTGACCAATCAGGCCAGGCCTTGGTCAGGGCCTGAGGGACGGAACCGGCGTCAGTTTGACTACGTTGGCGAAGCTGGAGGAGATGTTAACGCTGACGTCTCCAGGCTCATCGGCCCTGCTGTCCTCTGGCAGCGGCAGACCAGCGCACTATTAGCCAAACATTGAGAATCTTACTTTCCCCACAGCGCAAGAGTGCAGGAGCGCAAGAGTGCGCAAGTCAGTTGCGCTGGTGTTCTTGTTCTCGAGCGATTTCTCCTCAGTGGAGAGTGGAACATGTTTGGAGAGACTTTGGCGGTTTAACCGAGCTGTTCTCCATCTCAAGCACATCATTACTACTGAGATCAGTGAAGAAACTCAGCTGCCGAGTGCTTTTTCAAACTTTTTAGCGGGAAAAAAAACTAAATATGTGGTGCCCTCTGGATGTAAATGTAACGAATGTATAGATATGTAAATTAGAAGAATACACAGATTTTATATACTGTGTATATATGTTTATATGCCGTGTACGTAGTCATCGTCATCCTCCTCCTGAAGCCTCGGCCTCGCGCTTTTGCTAACGCTACGTTTCTACTGGGTCAGAATTTTGTCGATCCCGTCTGCTGGGCTGCTGGTGAAGTTCATAGCGCAGAAGCTGAAGACGTGTACTGTATTTTATGTGCCTCAGAATCTTGAGAAAACGGTAGTTCTCAGCCCAGGTTCTATTTCTCACACTGGTTTACAAGTGAAATAAAGCCTTTTGGGAATGTAGATACACATATTAGAGCCCTAGATGGCCAACAGGGGGCGCCGAGAAGGTGCCCAACAGACCCACAGCATTGATTTTCACTGATTTTGAAGTTTTTCTTTAAGATGACGTGACCAAATCAAATGTTTTGTTTTTGTTTGTTTGTTTTCTGCAAAGAACATCTGTTTTTTTCTTAATATAATGCATTTTTGTTTGAAATTTGAAATAAAAATCCAAAGTCTCACCATCCGAGTCCACAATA